TATACTATATATATATATATATATATATATATATATAGTATATAGTATAGTAGTAGTAGTAGTAGAGTAGTAGAGAGAGAGAGAGAGAGAGGAGGGAGAGAGAGAGAGAACTTTTTTAAAGGAGGAAATATAATCTAGTTGAAAACTAAAAAGAAAACATGTGTACACAGGTATTCTAAATGTAATTCAGTATCTTATGTCTCTTGAAAGAATAATGATTTCTTGAATACAGATCGTTTAGCATTCAATCTAATGCCAACACTATATACGGTTCTACATTCTTGAAAATATGTTGGTTTCAAGATCTTTTGGTTGAATTTATGTCTGCATAAGGACCCAATGGTCTACCCTTATGTAGAAGAACCATCAACAAATTAGTAGAGAGAGAGAGATTGTACCTAGGAGTAGCTTCATATTTTATATTTTGATGTCGATAATAACGCCTAAAGATAACCATTATTAAACCAATAATGGAGTCCTGATCTGAAATTAGGTGAGCACCCATACCATCTACAATGCACCAAACTTGCTTGAGCAAAAATCAGTTTGGACTCAAGAATTTAGCAAACTATTTGCCAAGATGACAAGGTGGCATGGATCATGTCCTTCTTGCTTACCCCACATATGGAATCTAGGGAGATACATGTAGGAACTAATGTTTGAGACTTTTGTTAGACATTGGTTGGGAAAGGATCTCAAAGTGGCGATTATTGACACATATGGAAAACCGGTTTCTTGTTACTAGAAGGCACACTTTGCTAGGGCTTATATATTTCATAATACATAACTAGGTTGGACGTGATCCGACAACTATTTTTTGGGAAACTCATGCTGGTATGGTCTAAATTTCAAATCATGTGTACCAGAGGAGCAATATAGTCTTGAATGCCTGGCCAAGTATGGCATCCCAATAAAACACGGATAGGACCAGTGCTAATTTTACAAGGAATTTCTATGGGAAGAACATGATGGGCTAAACTTGTATAGGTTTTGAGTCATTGGTGTAGTGTCTAGTTTAGGCAATTTAGGTCAGACAATAGCAATTCTTCATTAGGAGGCTCTTAGTTTTTATGACATATTTACTTTCCTTAATAGTGTATTATTTTGTGTTGACACATCAAAAAACAAATATGGCCGAGATCCTGAGCTTTCACGTACTCCACCACCAAAAACCTAGAAATGGAACTTATTTATCCTTGCTACCAAGAAGCCACAACAATTATAGAACAAAGCCTGCGAAATTTTAAAGATACAGAGAAAGAGAGAAAAAATATTTAATAAGAGTCATATATTAATTGGGAAATTTTACATTCAATGGTCACTCAAAGGGTCAGGCAAAAGAAATTATCTGAAACATAAAATTCACATTGCATTTCTAATCCACCAGGCAACAGTAGAGTAAAGGGTTGTCAGCTTTTGGTAATAGCACATTGTATCCCTCACAAAATTGTCCTTTATGCTCTGCCATCTTATAAATTAGTAACCCTTCTTATTCAGCAACATATGCTGAAAAGAAAACGCAATATCCTCTTATAAAGTAAGTTATACAGCTCTATACTACTCACTACCCATAACAATAGTTCGTCATTAATCAATAGGAAACTCTTGATTCAAGGTATCCCCACCCATTTCTTTTTTTTTTTTTATTTTACTGTTATATAAAACTGTATCTCCATCCATTGTATTAATCAACTCTCAATCCAGTATTTGAGTAATCACTACTAAAAAAATACAATGAGAAAAATATATACAAAATAATAACGGGAAAGAAAAGCTGACAATTTCTTTTTGATTTGGAAAGCATAAAATTGGAACCTATGCTTCTATTTTCTTCTCAAAATTGCCAGTGCACAGTAAATCAGCAAACAATGACTGGAAATATTTCATAGGATAGACAATCATATTAACAATGGTGATCGTGATGATGCTTAACCATAAAAGCTACCTAGAGAACACCTACTATTTGTCCATGGAACAAAGAGTAACACCTAGAACTAGACATTTATAAATCCCAAAAGTTGTTTCTTCCTTGAAAGCAGCACAAAGTCTCCCAACAAAATTTCCAATTGGCAAATGACAAAATCAACTGTTGATTGCAGCTCCATGATTAACGATGTAAAACTGACACAAAATAGCAAAAGTAAAACATGGTACACGAGAATGCAAGTGCACATTGATTGCAAAATCGCCCAATCCAACCGCTAACCACTCGGTTAGATCGGAACCAACTACTGCCTGGTTCCAATTTTGGGCGGTTAGGGTGATCACCGGTATTTTAAAAAATATATATTAAAAAAAATGCATATAAATTCTCAAAAATAAAAATTTTGATTTGTAATGCATTTTTAAATATTCTTTACATTATGGTAAAGAGTAAAAATTGTTTTGGTCATTAATACTTACTTCTATATTTTCCCATCTGTTTTGGAAAATTTTTAAAATAGACCTTGGAAAATATAAAATGGGTTAAAATCCAAATTTTCATTAATTTTCAACTTCATTTTAATGTGTTTTGTTTAAGTTATTCTTTATATATTTTTCATATTTTAGTAGATTTTTTTTTGTACTTTTTTATTTTTTTCCAACACTTTTTTTACCTCCTGGGACTTGCATAGTTAGAGTGGTTGAATTTGCCGGTTTACCGGTTAGGCTGGTGAAACTGCTCTCACGCCCATATTTGGTTCACCGTTCCAATTCGATTTTGGAAACACTGCATGTGCATCACTGCATGTGACTATCAATGTGCTTAAAATATTATCTGTAGATATAAATCGATATAAAGGTACCTGAGCAAGAGTTCATTTATTACTGCTACTCTTGAAACTTTGAATGCAATGGAGGGTATTTTTTGCATGATGAAATGCATGGTGTGAAACCCAATTGCTTCACTTAGTTATCTTGTCAATGGATAGAGTAAAGGAGGATCTGAAATAAATGCATGATATTGAGATAGTTGGGTAATTTTGGGTTATTTAGGATAACCCACTTTTCATCGACATCTTTAGTGCATATGGAAGCACTGAAGATTTGGAATTGATGAAGATGTTTTTAGTGATGAAGAAAAGCAACGCAAACCCTATAATGTAACATTTTCCAACTATTGTTCAAACTCACACCAGAAAAAGTATGGGCTGCTCGTGAATGTGAGGTGAAGATGAAATGAGGCAAATGGAAAAGCATAACTCAAGTAGTTAATTTAACTTTCTTTTTTGGTATCTAACAACTTTATGTATATCATTACTTTTCACAATTGTTTGTGAGAAATACCACCTCCTCATGAAATCCATTACTAACATCATTTTCTGATGCATAGTACCTCTATCATAAGACTTGATTAAAAATTAAGAGTCTAAATCATAGTGACCATGAACAAAAACGTGAAAAGTTCCAAGATTGGTAACAAGAGTACGGAGTTAGCCTAGCTCGAAGTTCCCTGGGCAGCAAAGCAAGCTCCGTACATGGCCTAGGGATGGGAGTGAGTTTCCTGACTTATAGGGAGCAGAGCACATTGCTATCTGGACGAGAGCGAGTTTCCTACCAAAAGGGATCACATTGTACCTTTCTTAGGATCGAGGCTTCTGGAGTCCACTATTTTCGTATATTGATAACTGGGAGCGAGTTCCATTGGATGTACTGTTTAACATTTTGTAAATCCACGATTCCAAGGTATCAATGTAATAAAAAATCATGGCATTGAGATTGTCTTTGAAATTTTGATGTTATTGGAGCATGACTTAATACCAAATTCAGCAGACATCAGTATTATGGTGCATTGGAACATGATTTCATACCTAATTTAGTAAAAACCTTATTATGATGCATTGGAGCATGATTTCACATCAAATTTAGTAAACAACATTCTTGTGGTATACCGTGCACAACTACCCCTTAATTATACAATACCTTCTCTAAATTGGCACACAATGCTGGGCAAGATTTACCCTTCTCAAGTCTATACTATTGACACTCAATGATGGGCAAGATTCCCATTTCGACTAAGTTTGTAATCGACGATTGAGCACATGTATTGTGCACCTTCACAAACATATTGTATTTTCCTCCTTCAGTCAAAAGACTCAAAACACCACACTAGGTTGATTGCTTTATGTTAACATTCTGGGAACCATATAGCAATTGCTAGATGATATGAGGAAACCTAATACTATAAACAAATAAAATAAACTTTGTAGGAGTAGCTCACTCCCATGTATAGGATACTTGGCTCCTTATGATGGAATCATGGTTCCAAATGATATTAGAGCCATGATCTTGGGCATGTGGATTTGGTTCCCACTTGCTAGGGAACTCGACCCCAAATAATAAGAATCCAGATCCCATAGCACTGGGTACGAGATCCAAGTATGCAAGTAAGCATCTAGAATCGAGATTCGGTCACTCAGTGTGTGGGATCGTGATTCGGGGGTAGAAACTGACCCCCACATGGGCGCTCCTGGTAACTATGGTCTGAATGAATGGCTCGACACCAATATAATGAAATTCATCATACTAGTTT